ATCGAACCGTGGACCTTAGCTTATACTGTGGGGGTTTGGCAGCTTAACCACTAAGCTATAGAGCCCAAACCCTTAAATATATTTTCCTTATATCATTTAATATCAATTAATCATTGGTAAACCGATTAATTAAGATTTAATAAATCATAATAATATTATTTTATATCAATTAATCAACTGATATATTACCCAAAATAATAAAGAAGATATCCCATAATGTATGTAATCAGGATAACAGAAATTAAAATTTACAAAAAGCCAATGATATATCATTACATAAAATATCTAATGATGATTATATTTTAATTATATTGGCTATATATTATATTAAAATATCTATTATATTATTTTTAAACATTATAATGATATTATAATAATATTTTAATTATCATTTGTTGTAGAGGTTTTTCATATCATAAAAACCTCCAAACATTCTTTAATCATTCTTTAATCATTTTACAGCTATTTTCAATTTAGTTGAATCAACTTATTTTGCATAATTTTTTTTTTTGTCCCTGAGTCCTATGAGTCTGGTGAGTCCATGAGTTCTATAATTACGTCATAGATAGTTACTTTATGTTCATCATACTTTGTGAAATCTTATTTAACAATCACTTCTTATACTCTTATTATCGTTATATTTGCTTTTTTACAGTCTTTTTACTAGCATATATATATAAATACTAAAGCAGTTAAGTGGATCCTAATTTTTCTGGATTCTTTTTAGTTTTTAAAGTTTTTTTTATTAGTAGTAAGCAACTAGAGAGAATTTTAAAGTCTTTTCGAACAATCTAGAATTGTTATAGTTTACACTCTAAAAAAATAAAAATAAAAAACTTTTATAAACGAACAAATGTTTTTTTCCCAAACAAAAAAAAAAAACTTTATAAGCAAATATTTTAAAGTCTTATTATTTTTAACTAAAAAAAAAAAAAAAGTCTTTTAAAATCTTACTTGTCAGTCGGAAAGAGTTGAGACTATTTAAAGTCTGCAGTAATTTTTTTTAATAGTATAGGACGAGAACTAAGTAAAGATTTACATTGGCAGGTAGTATACCTTCACACTGATGGTTTAAATAAATATAAAATTGCTGAAACCCTCTATATAAGTCAACTAACTGTTAGTAGAATTTTCCAGATCTTTGACAAATGGAATCATGTAGTTAATCTATTTAAAACTCCACCAGGAAGGCAAAAGTTATTTTTGTACGAAGAATTGGATATTCTTAAGAATCTGGTTGAAGAATGAGTTGATTAGTACCTTGATAAGCTCGTTGTTAAAATGAAGAATTTAACTGGTAAACATGTTTCAATTTCAGCCTTATGGTGTTTATTATAGTATTTGAATATTACTCACAAAAAGATAATTATTTAAATTAGATTTGGTTTTATAATTTTTGTTTTAGCTAATAATTATTTATCATTTAAGTTGCAGAAAGCAGCACAAAAAAGAAATGAAATCGTTCATTGTACATTCATCGCCAAAATCAGAATGAATTATAAACCTGATCAATTAATATTTATGGATGAAAGTGCTAAGAATAAGCGAAGCCTTACATGATACTATGGATATATAGTAGCTAAGTACAGGCACGCAAAAGTTGTGTTTTTTTGTGAGGTAAAAGATATACTATTTTACCAGCATTGTTGTTAAATAGAATAGTTGCTTTAGATATAATGGAGGGAAGTTGTACCAAAGAACAATTTTTAGAATTTGTACTATTGCAGTTGGTTAGTATTTAGTTTAAATTATATAAGACTATATTAAATAAATTAAATTTTTTTTTAATTTAGATCCCTTTAATGAATCTGTACTTCAGTAAAAATAGTATTATTATCCTCACTAATGCAAAAATTCACCATGATTATAAGTTGGTTGAAATGATAAAAGAATTGGGATATTGTATTGAATTTCTTCCAATCTATTCACCAAACTTTAACATGTTAAAAAATGCATTTAGTGCTATAAAAAGTTGGATTAAGCATAATAGAGATTTTATAAATACATTTGATGATTCTATTCATGCACTTATGATAGCATGTTCTCAAATTACATGTGAGATGGTGGAAGGATTTTTTAAAGGATCCATATATATGTAATTAAAATTTTTTTTACAATTATGTATAATATAATATATATTAATAAACTAAGTACTGTATATTAAGTTTTGTAGAAGAATTTTTACAATAGAATCATAACAATAGCTAACTTTATCTTAGTTGCACATTATAGTTACCAGAATGACAAGTAATTTTCATAACAGAGTTTTTTGCAATAACTAAATAGTGCTTGATTTTGGCGAATATTTCTAAATATTCAGATACTATCCAAAGTACGAATCAAATCCAAGCTAGGATTCGAACCTGTATTATGCGAATTTGGTTTCTATTTGATCAGAATCTAACTAAAGATTTTTTTATAGTAGTTGCACAAAAAACTACTAATTACTTTAAATTATATCGACCTACCCAAAGTGCAAATTTCTAACAAAAAAAAAAAAAAAAAAAGCCAATCTGATTTTAATTCTATAATAGTAAATAATTATATTAGGCTGATCAAATTATATATACTTATAGAGTGCACATATAAAGTATCGCATTTTCTAGCAAAACAGGGTAGCGTACCACTTATACACTACAAGGTGGTTATCACAGGTTTTCTTATAATTTTTTTTTGAAAGCTAAAAGATAAATCTTGTTTAGCTTTCTTATATACCATATATTAGAATTACATTATAATATCAATATTATACGATTTTTGACTTTTTCTTAATTTATTGCATATTTAATTAATCATACAATCTTTGTCTATTCTAGATTATCTCATTATTTATATAGTTTTGACTTCATATTTTTTTTATGCACTTTAACTAACAATTCGATTAACTTCGATCAGTCATACACATAATCATGAGATCATGATCCCAAATGCTTCTTATTCATTTAAGTATTTTTTTTTCCCACACCACATATCACATATCTCAGGTTCTAGCTTTCGTTGTATGGCCAATCTTGCTATAACAAATAGTTGTCGGCAAATTAGTTTATACCTTTTTGAGGCTATTAAGTGACCCAGAATTTCACTACTCTTCAGTAAAAAAAGCTTTCAGTAATATATTTTTAAAGAAATAAAATATACTATTCATCTTTTTAATATTCAGGTAAAATGGAAATTATATTTTGGTAAAATAAGACTTTCAAAATTATGTCTTGTTAGTAAAATGGGAGTTATTAATAAAATACAAGCAGCCAAAATTGCAATATAGGTTGATAAAAAAACTAAACTGGTTTGATATCAGATATGATAATCAGGTCACTTTTGAAAATTTGATTAGTAATTTTGACTTAATGTCTATCTAGAAAAAAAAATAACGTCGTATATACTTTAAAAAAAAGAGCAAGCTAATTGGCAATATCTAGTAGTTACAAGTCAGCAAAACCTGGTAACCCCAAATTTGATAAAGCTTCCCAAAAATAACTCACCAAATTTCTCAAAGAAGAGAATACCAAAATGTATCTTTAGCAATTTATTCACACTTTTACTAATCTCTGTTGGGATAAATGTATCACCAAGATTAGTAACAAGATTGATTATGGAGAAGAGACCTGTCTGGTGAATTGTGTTGAAAGGTTCTTGGATACTAGCCTATTCATAGTCAAAAGATTGGAGGAGATATGAAATCAGTAAACCGATACTCAGAAAGATACTAGCCTATTCATAGTCAAAAGATTGGAGGAGATACGAAATCAGTAAACCAGAATCCCGAACATCTTCAATATAGGTCATAACTGATCTGTATGAATTTTGGTTTTTTGCTACCCCTAAAATCAAATAAATTTGCTAAAAATTTAATTATTACATATTGTTACAGGGAATCCTTTCG